ACGAACACGATTCATATGCGATGAAGACTGTGATGTAACGTTTGAAGGCGATGGTTGACTAGCTTCAGCCTGATCATGTTCGGCCACTATATTATCCTTCACCCTTAATAATCTAATTGATAAGAATATGATAGGTAATAATTGAAGGCAAAAAAAAAAAAAGAATACTTAGGTCAAATTACTTAAATTGGTTAAAAATGTTTTATTGATGTGTAAATTAGAAGAAAACTTATCATAAACTAATAAGAACCGGATCATTTGACAACATTAATTGATATAGAATGTATTTTGGCTCATTCTTCCTGTCGCCTACAACACTCATTTGCAGGTAGCAATTACATCTGTGCCAGATTTAGCCCAAAACTCAGATCTAAAAATCAACAAATGTCAAGCATTCATCACAAAAAATTATTCATCACCGAAACACACCACAAAACCAGGCCAAGAAGAAAAAAATAACACAGCACGGTGGTTCGATCAGTCAATCTATTAGCTCACACCAGATCAACAAACACACACCCTCCACATGCTTTGATTAATACCGTATCCTACATTCACCGAAAAGCAATACAACACGAATCGGTCAACCTGGCTCAGAGCAGATCAATCGAAGTTTGGCAGAGGTAGATCAGGCTCAGATCTTCGACGCACACCTGAGATGGACCAGCTGACGGCGGCGACGGAGCTCACGGCAAGTGTCGGTGGTTCTGGGGACGGAGGATGAGGGGAGGCAGCTCGCGTGAAGGACCAGCCTTTCGGTCACTCGAAGCCACACCCAACACGAGGACCTCACGGCGGAGACGCGACGCAGCTCATGGCAACTCTCGGTGGTTCTGGGGACGGACGATGAGGGGAGGCAGCTCGCGTGAAGGACCAGGCTTTCGGTCACTCGAAGCCACACCCAACACGAGGACCTCACGGCGGAGACGCGGCGCAGCTCACGGCAACTCTCGGTGGTCGGACGACAAGGCGACGGAGGAGGCAGGATGAGGGTCGCCGGTCGGGTAGAAGGGAGAGCAGATGGGAAAGAAGAAAAGAAAGAACGAAGGCTCCAGGAGACCGAAGACGCGAAGAAAGACCGAAGACTTGAGGAAAAAAAATTGAGGACCGGCTGATAGGATCCAACGGTAAAAAATAAGAGCTTATGATTCAATAAGCCATAAAAATTGGCTTGGGCCAGAACGTGCGTTGAGGAGCTTAAAATTCATAAGCCACTTTTTTTTCCAAGCCCATCCAAACAGCATCTGAATTCCAATCGGGCTTATGCTGACTTTAAGCTACTTATAAGCCCCTCAGAAGCCCAACCAAACAGACCCTAAAATTAACAGCTTATGACTTATAACTTATGGCTTATAGCTTTTGAAATATGGAGAGAGAAAAAGTTAAAAAATTTATTACCTCTTTTGGTTCTTATTATAAACTTCAAATAACTAATTTGTAGATAATAAAAAATCAGTTAAAATTAGTTGAAAGTAATGAATAAATTAGAAATATACTTTTATTTTTAAATATGCTCATAAAAATATACTTTTATTTTTTCATGTTTCACTTTATATTTAAAATATTTTTTGTGACTTCTTCATATTAAATTATTTTAATTTCATTGTATTATGTGAAATTATTTTTTTAATCATATTTCATTATTTATTAAAATTCATACCCATTTGGGTCATTTTACAACTAAACTTATTTTCACTCAACTATAATCCAAACAATCTTTTACCAATATCACTTTTACAAACTAACTTTTCTGAACTCTAATCCAAACACAATTCAGCTTATCCAATTTAACTTTTACCCAATTTTACCTTTTTAAAAGCTATTTTTTCAATAAACTACTTTTTAATCGCTGATCCAAACGGACCCGAAGTCGATGGCCATGGAGGAGAAGCTTCACCGGAACACGGCATGCAAGACACACTTGATTAATGATAACAATCAGCGTCTCGCCGTTGCGACATCCGATGCTTCTCCCGTCCAATCGTGTCCCAGCGTGAAAAACGAGGACATCGTGGGATCCAATGAAAAGAGAGAGAAGAATTAGTTATTGGTCAATAGGAAGATGCCACGTGCCATGACCACGAGTTCCAGCCTCTCCCTTCCAAAAGATTTTACGCCTTCTAAAATTGTTATAGGGAAAATTACACTCAGGTCCCATAAAAAGGTAATTAATTTCAAAAAAGTTCTTAGAAATCCCGAAATGATTCCTAAGTCTCCACGGACTTGTGTGTAATTAATTTTAATTATAAAATTACCTATTTACCCCTATTAATTTGAACCTAATAGAATTCATTTACAACTTCAATGGTAACTGTTGACAATCGGAGGAGAAATGGTTGATAACCTTAGCAATGCCCATGGTATTCCACAGAGTGAGTTGTCAGGAGCACTGCCGAGGTTATCAATCACCTCTTCTCGGGTTGTCAACAGCTATCGTTGAGGTTGTAAATAAATTACTGTAATAAAATTAATAGGGGTAAATAAGTAATTTCATAATTACAATTTATTACACACAGGTCTCTGGGGACTTCAGAATCATTTTGGAATTTCTAGAGACTTTTTAAAATTAATTGTCTTCTGTGAGACCTGAGTGTAATTTTTCCATTGTTATATGATGAAAATAACAAAAACGTTTTAATATAATAAAAAAGATTAGTTTTTAAACATTTGTCTTTGTTGAAGGTCGTTAAATGAATCTTTAACCGTGTCCTTATATATATCTTAAGAAGATGGAAATTAATTAAGAAGTTAGATAGTGATTGAATTTAGTTTTAAATATAATTTTTTATTAATTTTATTTCTCATTTTATTATTTTTACTTAAAATAATTTATATAAACTAGAAACTGATATGTATAATCAAATATTATCTGTAGTCCTTAATATATAAGTTAAATAATTAATTTATGAATATTAAAAAAAATCCCTCTAGTTTTTATTGTAAGACATTCTCAATTAATTCTCACATGTAAAAAAATAACAATTAAAGTATTAAATATGTCTTAAATTAATAAATTTTTTTCAAATTTACGTAAATAGAGAATCACATAATTCTACTAGTGTTTGGGTTAGTTATTTGCTTATATTTATGATGAAAAGTTACTTCTAAAAGATGCCTTATAATAGGGTTATATATTAAGTTAATTATTCATAATGAATATGTGTCTTTTTTAAAACATTCTAATTAATCATGAGTAATGGAACTTGGGAGTACTCTTTGATGAAACATGAGACATTTAAAATGTGTAATTAACATAGGGACTACTTAAAAAAATGAATAAATATATTAAACAAGGTATATTGAGATTTTATATTTACGACGAAATTGAATTTTTGACTAATTTTTAGGGATAATTAATCCACAACTCCTTATAGTTTCAACTAATTTTGAATCAGGTCCTTAAAGTTTTTTTTTCTTTTTATCAGGTCCTTATACTTTCACCTGTTTTTAATTAGGTCCTTATATTTATTTTTCTTTTTATCAAGTCCTTATAAGTTCACTTTATTTTTAATTAAGTCCTTGAATTTTTTATTCTTTATTTTATAAATTCTAATAGTACTATTATATAAACATAAAATAGTATATATTATTTAATATTAGTTTATAAACAATAATATTCTAAAGATATTGAATTATTATAATGATTTTAATTTTTTCAGCAAAAAAATTAATTGTTCTAAAAAAATTTCCTGAATTAATTAATTCTATTACTTTTTTATTACATAATTATTAATTTAATTTGATTATTAATATTTTATATTTCAGTATTAATCTATTTAATTAAGCTTATATTTAATTAATAAATAAAAATTAAAACTACATGGACCTGATTAAAAATTTAGTGAAATTATAAGGACTTAATTAAAAGAAAAATAAATATAAGGATCTAATTAAAAAAAGGTAAAAGTATAAGGACCTGATAAAAAGAAAAATAATTATAGGAATCTAATTCAAAATTCGTTGAAACTATAAGGACTTACGAATTAATTAACCCTAATTTTTATATTAATAATAGGAAGTAGTGTTATACAAAATTATTTTAAGGAGATAAACTATCTTCAATTTTTAATATAAGAGCCAGTTGAGATTTGAATTTGGTCATGAATATAAGAACTAAATTTACTTTGTCTCCCAAATCTATAATTCATTATCCATAATATCTTTATTGATTACACATTTTGACCTATTTACATCCAAGAGTAGTTATAATTACAAAAAGATACTTTAAAAAAATTAACTCATAACTGTAAATTGTTGTCAATAACTAATTTAATTAATTTTCTTAATTTATTTAAATTAATTGTTATATTAAGAAGAAGTAGGTAGCATGTTATAGTAATTAACTAATTTATTTCCCTTCATCAATGACAAATTAATTCTTACATTAGGCATGAGACGGAGTCTGTTATTTATATGTACAATATTCAAATCCTATTTTCGCACTTGTGATTTGTTTCTCTCCCTGTCGCGTTCATAAATACTGTACATTTCTATGAAAAAAGTCCATAAATAAATTAATGCCCTCATCTGTTTTGCAATTTATGATATTAATTTATTTATTAAATAATTAACCAAGTAAAAATTTATTATCTAGCCATTATTTTTTGCTATAATTTTTAAACAAATTTTCATACGGAATAAAAAATAATGTAAATTTGCTGGTTTTATTTTCTTACATTCTAGTTTTCCTAAAACATGACCTTCAAAGTTAATACTTTTTTCAAAAAAAAATAAAAAATAATATTTTTCATTAATATTTTCTAAAAATCCATTTTTTTCCGAATAAATTTATCTTTATAATTTCGATAAAATATCAGTTATTTGTTTAATTATTTTGACTTCACGAACAAACCCAGTAGGCATTTTAGTCATTACAAAACAAATAATTTTTATTTTTCGTTAATTTCACGCTCTTCACATGAAAAAGCCTTGACCGTGGCTCTGCCCAACAGTGGGAATCTCTCTCCTCGTTTCCCTCGATGGTAATATAAAAAGCGTTTTAGGCAGCTTCCCATTTCCATAGCCTTTCCTCTGTCCTCTTCTCTTCTCTTCTCTTCACTGTGTTAGTATTCTTCGGAGCTTGTGCTAATGTCAGATCTAAAGTCCAAATTCTTGCAAGTATACTCAGTTCTGAAATCGGAACTACTCAACGATCCTGCATTCGAGTTCTCCGATGAGGCTACCAATTGGGTCGATCGGGTACGTTACTTTCTTGCTATAATCGCGTAGTTCACTAGCATCTTGTTTCATGGCCTTTATTTGCTCTGTCGGGCGCTTCCCGCCTCCGCCTTGAGACTCGGGCGCTTGTCTTGCTTGGTATGGTTCTCCAGCTTGCTGATGACGAGATCTTTTCTTTTGTTTTTCCCCCCCCTTTCTTAAGTTGGGATAAGACAAGATAAAATGGTTTTGAAGCAGTTTCTGTGTTGGCGAGGAGTTCAAATTTTCAGTGCAAGAAGATGCGTTCTCGTAGTTTTAGAATGGGGCTATGAGATTAGTTCAAGGTTGACGGGATATTGCAATTCTGCAAAGCTTGTTCAAGTAAAGAGACCTCATGTCCAAATGGTTGCAACTATTGTATAATATTATCTGCACTTTAAAGTGGGAGAAATTGCGTAACAGAGAATTACGGGGTGATATTTATATGGCTCTATTGGTAATCAAGATGAGGACAGTGGGTTTCATTATGATGTCAAGACGACTTTCGGAAGTTTGAGTGGGTTTTTTTTTGCTTCACGCTATTAAACACTGTAAAATTTATAGCAATAATTAGCTGTGCTACTAAGCCACCTAACGTTCTATGGAAGTGAAATGACTTGAATCACTGTACACGTAAGCTGCGGTAATTTGAAAATTCTAGTCTATTCATTTCAAGTGAGATTTGTGATATATATTTTATTGTGCGTGGATTTCATCTAGCGTGTTTTGTTAGCACTTGAATCATACTGTGTCGGGGTTAAAGTGGGGAATTATTATAACAATTGAATTCTTTAGTGATAGCTTTCATCCTTTGTTTGATCTACACCTTCTGCTGTTACTGGCAAAGTGCTCTAGACAACAGTTTGTTTCATGTAGAAACTTCTTTGTGGTTCTGCTTTTTAGTGCTATCTTGTATATTCAACGTTTGCCGATCATTTTCCCTACCTCCCTTCTGTAAGTGCGAAACATTTGCAAATTTATGCACAAATGAATTGCCAAAAGTAGTTACAATTTTATTGAATATGCTTATATATCTTTGGTCCTGCCCTTACCGTGCTATGTACTCTAACCTATTACAGATGCTGGACTACAATGTGCCTGGAGGTGGGACTCAAGAATTTCTTTTAAATTTGTGATGAAGAACTTATCAGTTTATTATAATTATAAAGAACTAGGAGAAGAACGGGGTGTATCCACGAATTATTTTGGAAACATAGATCTTATTCATCTAAACGTGATTATAACTTACATTACAGGTAAGCTGAACCGTGGACTATCCGTTATTGACAGCTACAGACTGTTAAAAGGTGAAGAGTTAGGTGAAGAGGAATTTTTCCTCGCTAGCGCTCTTGGCTGGTGTATTGAATGGGTATGGCAATTGAAAAATTTATAATTTCTTGTTTTTTTTTTTCCTTGTTTATAATTCTTGTTCCTATTCTCCGGCCTATGGAAAATTTATTATTCTTCAATGCACAGAAAAACTAGGTATTTATGATAAAATTTAAAATTTAGGGCAAATTTTTATGAATCTTGATATCACAAGGTATTAATATTCTAATAGTTTAAACCTTTTGCCACTTGAATGCTAGCTTCTGAACCACAAGATACCAGAATGCATTTTATCTTCTTCTTCTTCTTTGTTTTTTGTCCTAACCACTAAAGAAGATATTGAGACCATGTGATGTTGTGGAGGAATTTCATCGCATGCTGTTGATGACTTTTGCAGCTCCAGGCATATTTTCTTGTTCTTGACGATATCATGGATAACTCTCATACACGGCGTGGTCATCCATGCTGGTTTAGGGTGCCCAAGGTTTGTAGCAACAGCAAGCATAGGTCGTGAAGTTAGTTTTGTTATTTTCATAGCTGTTGAAGCACCTGACTCCTCCTTACTATATGATACAGGTTGGCTTGATTGCAGCAAACGATGGGGTTCTACTACGAAATCATATTTCAAGAATCCTTAAAAGGCACTTCAAGGGAAAGCCGTACTATGTGGATCTTCTTGATTTGTTTAATGAGGTTATCCACACTTCTAAGTTAAATGATTTTTTTTTTTCCATAATATATTATTAATAAGCTAAAACTTGATACGTGTTCTTTCTATAGGTTGAATTTCAGACTGCTTCCGGACAGATGATTGATTTAATCACTACCCTTGAAGGAGAAAAGGACCTGTCAAAGTACACATTATCACTGTGAGTACCACTAGAAAACTGGAAAAGAAATAATTGGAAAGGCCAGCTCATATGCGGCTACAGTAAGAGAAAGTTCTGATTAAATAGGAGAACTATGCCATTTCCTTTCTAGATTGAAATCAATTGCTGTAAAAGAAAGGTGGAAGGAATGACTCCACAAAATAGATATCTGCCTCTAAGTTAAATATCTATGTTATTCTATGAAGTGATTGGATGTTCCAGTGACATGACAGAGATATGCTTAATCCTGCCATCCTTGAGCTTACTTGTGTATTAGTACTGCTCAAGATAATTATGAGTTTTGCCTGTTGAAAATCCTTGTTCCTTGGCAATGGTTAATTTCTAGTGCTGTTTTCTGCTACCCTTAACCCAGATCACACGTTATTAGTATTGGCACTGCTTGGGAAAATGCTATGGATCCATTTTTGCGTGTTACTAGTATTTATCCTCTGACACTGCTCTACCTTTTGATGCAATATTATATTTTATGCTTTCGTCCCTTTTCAATCACCTGGTTCAGTGTTTGAGTAATTAACGAATAGAAGTTCTGTGCAGTCACCGCCGCATTGTTCAGTACAAGACTGCATATTACTCATTTTACCTTCCAGTAAGTATAAGCCCTTCCCGCAACTGTGTTAATCTAGGTTTGTTTGTTGCTGTATTTCATATGAGATGCCAATCGTAATCAGTTGCTCTATTTTCTGCTGTATCAGACTATTAGAATGTTGTCTTCCCTGATCTAACATGAAAATATGCTGACAATTAGAAAACGTTGATTCTGTATAGGATTGTTAACTCATTTTGTTCAATGTAATGCATTTTCGAGATAAATGTTTTCTTATTGTCCCCTCTTTTTATCGACTCTGGTATATCTGATCTTGTGTTGATCAATCATATGTCTTCTCAGGTCGGATGTGCACTGCTCATGGCTGGTGAGAATCTGGATAACCACATTGATGTAAAGAACATCCTTGTTGATATGGGAATCTACTTCCAAGTGCAGGTAATATTTAGTACGAAATTGGAACCCCCCTATCTCTGGAATTAACACAATCACGATTAAGACGGGTCACAAAAGCATTATTTGTCAATGAGCAAGTGGCATGTTCACTTTTTACATCTCTCTTGATGTGTTGTATAACTATTATCACGACCCCCATGTCAAAAGCTGTAAGCTTCCAGTTTTTTCCCCTGTCCCCTTCTTTTTCTTTTTCAGGATGATTATTTGGATTGCTTTGGTGATCCAGAAACAATTGGAAAGGTGGGTATCATAGTTACTGAGAATGATTAATCTGTTCTTAATCTTCAAATTGGATTTCTCATTCAAGTCATCAATGGCGCCAGATAGGCACAGATATTGAAGATTTCAAATGCTCTTGGTTGGTTGTGAAAGCATTGGAACTTAGCAATGAAGAACAAAAGAAAGTGTTATATGTAAGAAGCTATATTATTGTGAATTATAGTTTCCTACTTTTCTCGGACAAAGCTGACTATTACTGTTTGTGATTCTCAGGAGAACTATGGGAAGCCTGATCCTGCAAACGTTGCTAAAGTGAAGGCCCTATACAAAGAGCTTGATCTCCAGGTTTAAGCTTCATCCATTATGCACGGTCATTATAATTTAGTAGAAAACGGAATCCTTGATAAAAATATATTTTTGCGTACCAAGACATAAAAGATGACCTTCATGGCAAAAGTAGAGAGAAAAATCGTGACGGTCAATTAAAATGGAAGATAAACACAAGAAAGCCATGCTTCCATCGTCATCAAAGGGCACACTAAAACTATTTACGGGCATTTGACATAGTAGTGTCAAAGTTTTCAAGTGGTCTAAGATTCTGGAGTTCAATCTTAAGTTTTATTACAAGCTACTACTGCCTTCGGTCCTAAATATAAGATTGCATCACAAACTAGATTTTATATTTAACATCGAAGGCTGTATTTATTATGGGTCATTCACTGAATTCCAAACCAACAGGGTGTATTTGCGGAGTATGAGAGCAAGAGCTATGAGAAGCTTGTATCTTCCATTGAAGCTCGTCCCAATAAAGCTGTTCAAGCAGTGTTGAAGTCCTTCTTGGCTAAGATATACAAGAGGCAGAAATAAAAGACACTGGAGCGCACAGCTAAGGCTGAGGAAAAAGGTGCAGGATGCAAAATGGATTGTGAAGCTTTTTATCATGTTTTCGAGCTGGAATTTTTCTAGTTCATTAAAGATTGATCTTCTTGTATTTTGTTCTGTACACTTTCCAATAACACCTATCTAGCTATCAATGAATTTCTCTGTGGTTCTTTTTCAGATTTGTTTTTGGGGCGGTGTCTTGATTATCTTCCAGGCCAATGTTTTCTATTAGGGTGAGTGGTGAGGTACTGTTAAAAAGCTGCCTCATCACCAAAATAATATAAAATAAAAAGTAAATGTCTGTTAAATATTGCTTATCCGCTCATTTTTTTTTTTTTTTCTTTCCTGTCATGGAATTCAAATTAGATACAGTTCTATTTGAAAAAAGAAAAAAAAACGCGCAGTGGATCAATCCAATTTGTCAAGGGATTTAAACAATTCATTCAGAAAAGATGAATTAGTAAGAACAATATAATATGATGAGTGCAATGAATCATATTAAGTACAATAAGTTTTCCACTTTTTTGTCATTTAAAAATTTGATGTAACTGTGATTTAATATTTGCATATATAATTTTTAAAAGAAAATAATGGGTCAGATTTCAGATCCCATGTCACTTGACAATTTATGTTTAAAATTTAGACTTCAGAGTTAATTTTTTTTGTTAATTGAATCACTAGAACATTAAAACAGACAAAAGTTACAAATGAAAAAGCAATCTAACAGATACAAATAAAGTAGTACCTACATATCTAAAAGAAGCAGTAAATAAACACGTAGACCGCAGAATCCTCGGATAACAATTTAAAATTTTTAAGTTAAACTTTTTTCATGTTTAGGTAAATTACTTATAACCATTTCGGCGTAAATATTTTTGTCTGCGCCTCAATTCAATTCAAAGACAGCATATAATGTACAATTTGCCACTTGCCTGTCCCTCAAATTCAATTCTATTTGGACTTGGTCAAAATAATCAATTCCATAAAAAAAATTATTTGTATTTATTTGTTTCAAGTCTTACTTTCATTTTACGCATTTAAATAACTGTTTCCAAATTGAGGACAAAATATTTTTTTCATTATTTAAAAATTTAAAGTTATCAAAATAAAAAAGAATAATACATCCACAAATCAACATGAGCATTCTTCACATATGAGTAAGAACTTTATTACCTTAAAAAAATCTTTTGATTTTTCTGCGGTCCTTTATTCCTTAAAACTGAATTTTTATTGGCGAAGCTTCTATGATGCTGCATTGACCGTATGAACTATGAAGGAACTAATACCCATGTCCCTACTTACAATTTCTTGACCTAACATTAATCAGCATCTGAGCATTACTTAAATTTTAATTTTCATATTTCGTACTCGTACTTTTCATATTCAAAACTGAAAATTTTTTATTCTAATATTTATTTTATTTATTTTTTGGATCCCTAATTATTCTCCTTCCTCCTTCCTAACTTTTTTTAACTTAAATATGCTTCTTCAAATACAAAACAAATTAGAGGAAGCTTTAGCTTTCCAGAATGTGGTCACCTACAACCAAAGTTAAGGACATTCTATTCTTCCACGTTTTCAAGTCATGCTTATAAATTGAATCTTTGTTTCGTGAGAAATGAGTCCTTTCCATTTGATCAACTTACATAATTTAAATTTTGGTTTTTTATTTATTTTAATTAATATTAATGATAAAATTTGTGGTTGAATCATATGCTTAACTTTAAATTGCTCATTTGAATAATTAATTATGTTTTTACTTAAAAAGACTGGTTCTTTTCTTCGTAGATAATCCAAGTTCTTGTTAGCGAGTATTGTATTTATTTTTTGGTTCAAATTTTAAAAAAAAACTATGATTTAGTTTTCACTCAAAACATCCCAACCCTTAGACTGGGGATCAATCTTAGAAATTAAAAAATGGGGTTCATGTTAAATGAAAGCTTCAAATTAATTAGTTTTTAATTGCATATATATATTTTATATGCTATGAGGCTGATTAAAAAAATTGCTTCTAGCATGAATAATTTTACATTACAAATTTCACTGCAATCAATTGATTAAAACAGATGGCAGGAATTTCATGCTACCATCAAAAATGTATTGATTTCCTTAAACACCTCCTAATTATTTACATTGAAATTACTCCTATTAATTGCAGTTCTTTTAATATATGATATTATAGACCTAGGTTTATATTTAATTAATTTACCTGTTAAGAATGAATGACTAATTTTTAAGGATAAACAAAAGGATAACCTTTTCTTTTGGCCAGAACAAAAGTATAACTGCAAAACACATGAAAAGGGCTCAAAAATATTTATATAAGCAATGATCATGATTGCATTTGCCCCAAAAAGAGGGTGACATCTTTATTGTGGGGTCCATTTAAATAAAGATCAAAGATGGCTCTTTCATTATTCTTGCATTCCAATCTCAAAATTGAAAATTCATTGCCCAGTTCTCTTGCCTTTGAATCAGTCCACCGATGCCATTCATACTACATTTAATGTTTGGCTTTCTTTATGAGCATTTTTTCTTTTTAATAATTGATTATTTCAAAACTTAGTAGAGTAATTACAATTAACCTTCTTCCACTTTGACATTTCTAGCAAATACACCCATCTGATTTTTACTTTGGCAATTGATTGATTTGGTCTCTCACGTAGTTAATTAAGTTATTACCATTTTAATTAATTATTTTTTAAAATAATAGCTTGTATCCCCTTCAAAGTTTTTAAACATATCGGGAAAAAGGTAACTTTAACTCGCTTATTTTGTCATTAGTAAATTAATTTTACAAATTTAATATTATATACCAAAGTTCTAAAGATTTTAATTATTTAAATTTATTTATTATCCATTCTACAACTAAGTTATTGTTGATATTAAAAAAAGAATTAAGAAAAATAATAATATGGCTCCGTGGTTGCGTCAGAACCGTGAGACGATTAAAAATGGGTCAAATAGTCAAACATTGAACACGCGGTGGCTAGTGGCTGCTTCTTTCACTGCGAAAGGAAAAAAAAGTCCATGAACTTTTGAAGTTGAAATCTGCGTTCCCTCTTCTTCTCTTCCCGTTTCGGACATCAAAGTTTTCCATTTACAGTCTTTATGTTTGTTTCCATTAAATACGTCTCTGTGTAAGGTTCCTGGGTTCAATCATTGATTTTCTTTGCAATTTCTCGCTTTCAAATTCCCATCGTTTCCCTTACTGATGAATTTTCTTCGTGTTCCTCAGTTTTTTTTTATCACCACTGTTCAGTCCGAAATGAATAGTTCTTTCTTGAATTGATTACAACACAGATCAGCAGTTTCTGCTGCATTTTCTGGTATATTCAAGGTCAAGATTTTACGCTTGAGTTCTGTAATTTTTTCTGATTTTGGGATCACTTTCTGGGCGTTGTGCTTCCAATTCTTTCATTCATTTGCTGTACGCTAGTCCTAATCATATTCTTCTGCATACGCTGTTCTTTTTTTCTTGGGGAGGTCTTTTCTGGACTAGCTTTGATCTCTTAGGGTGATTGAAGTTCGTATTTTGCTTTGGATTCTGGTTTATTTGCCATTCTTGGAAAATGAAGCTTGTAGTTCGGGTAATTGAGGCCAAGAATTTGCCGCCAACTGATCCCAATGGGTTAAGTGATCCGTACGTGAGGATACAGTTGGGAAGGCAGAAGTTCAAGACCAAAGTGGTCAAGAAGAGCTTGAATCCGAAGTGGGATGAAGAATTTAGTTTCCGGGTTGATGATCTCAATGAGGAGCTGCAGTTCTCTGTAATGGATGAAGATAGGTATTTCAATGATGACTTCGTGGGACAGCTCAAAGTGCCAGTTTCACTTGTATTTGAAGAGGAGATTAAATCTCTTGGCACTGCTTGGTATTCTTTGCAGCCCAAAGCAAGAAGTCCAAGAACAAGGAGTGTGGTATGCTATATGGCAAGACTTATACCTTGTTTGCTATGGTGCTGATTTTATATTGGGAGGGAATTTAGTTATTCTAATATTTTTGCATTAGTTTCTCCTGTGGAAATATCAATGATTTTGCTTAGGCTTAGCGTTTCATATAATTGGGTCTTGCAATGAATTTTATACGTCTCGTATTTTTATTGAAGAATCAGATAACAAATCTACAGAGAACTAGACACAGTTCTTTCTATTCTCCTTTCTAATTTTACTTGCTTGCCTAATTGCTAAGTTAAAGTCGTGGATTTGTTATATTGATTTCATGTAATTTAAGCAGCCAAGACCTGTGAGAATATAATTTGCTCACTAAGTGTAGAAACAAATTGATAAATTATAAATTATAGCTTTCATTTATGTTGTGGGCAATTTGCTGCACAGATTGTGACAGTTGTTTGCTGGACAGGGGAGATTCGTTTAAGCATATATTTTCTCAGAATAATTCATCCTCCGACTCAAATAGTAGTGGTGATCAACCATCGAATGCATCTAATGAATCACCTTCAATATCTCTCACCAGCAGTTCATGCTCATCTCCAAAGAGAATTCAAGAAACCACACATCTAAGGATGAAAATCCTTTACCCAAAATCATTAGCTGGTCGAATTGCTCAAATGTTCAATAAAAGTTCTGATATCACTTCAACAGTACCTGAGAGAAGCGTGGACACAGATTCATCCGAAAATAGTAAAGATGAGGTTGATGAGATCAAGACTGAGGATCAGTCCTCTAATGAAACTTTTGAAGATGTTATGGGAAAAATTCAGTCCGTAGATCAAGGCTCTGAAATTCCAAGCAATTTACCTGGAGGAGTGCTGATAGATCAACTGTATGTCATTGCACCAGAAGACTTGAATACGTTAATTTTTTCACCTGATTCAGATTTCCTCAAGACATTGGCAGATTTCCAAGGCACTACAGAACTCCAAGTAGGACCTTGGAAATTTGAGAATGAAGGCAAGAGCTTGAAAAGATCACTTACATACATCAAGGCTCCCACTAGATTAATCAAGGCTGTCAAAGCGTTTGAGGACCAAACATATATTAAGCTGATGGAAAGAATTTTGCCGTCCTAGCAAGTGTCAGCACTCCAGATGTTACATATGGGAGCACCTTTAGGGTAGAATTGCTCTTTGTAATTACACCTGGGCATGAATTGCCATCAGGAGAACAGTGTTCACATCTGGTGATATCATGGCGAATGAATTTCTTACAGAGTACCAT